CAGGATGTAAACTTAGAGGACTTGTTTAATCCATATGATATACCTAAATTATCTCCCCTGGAATCATTATCATTAGAAGGACAAATAACTATATCTGAAATGGCAAAAACACTAATGAAAATGAAGGATAATAAAAGTCCTGGTTCTGACGGCTTCTCTGTTGAATTTTTTAAAGTATTTTGGAAACAACTTGGGCATTTCATTGTCAGGTCAATTAATTTTGGTTATTCAGTTTCAGAAATGTCAGTCACTCAAAAACAAGGAATTATAACATGCATCCCAAAAGGCGACAAACCCCGTAATAAACTAAAAAATTGGCGTCCCATCACACTTCTCAATACTATTTATAAGATGGCATCCGGCACGATAGCAGAAAGACTCAAAACTATAATAACTAAATTAATTAGCAACAGTCAAACTGGTTTTATTCCAGGTAGATATATTGGAGAAAATACACGTTTAATTTATGATTTAATGCATTATACTGAAGAAAATGACATACCTGGTCTTCTATTGTTAATTGATTTTGAAAAAGCTTTTGACTCTGTGTCTTGGAATTTTATTACAAAAACTTTAAATTTCTTCAATTTTGGACCATCACTTATTAACTGGATCAACCTTTTTCAAAAAAATATACGCTCTGCAGTTAACATAGGAGGGAACTTATCCATTTTTTTCACTATCGAGCGTGGATGCCGTCAGGGGGACCCTGTTTCTTCATATATTTTTATCTTATGTGCTGAAATTTTATCGATTCTGTTAAGAAATAATTCTGATATCAGCGGTATTGTTGTAAATAACAGAGAAATTCTTTTATCACAGTTTGCTGATGATACGTCTGTTATCCTTGACGGTTCAGAAAAATCTTTAAATGTAACGCTACAACAACTTAACTATTATGCCAGAATTTCAGGTCTTAAAATGAATTTCACCAAGACCCAGGTAATCTGGATAGGCAGTGAAAAATATAGTAATAATAAATATACAACAGAGCACAATCTTTTGTGGGGAAGTACACGTTTTAATTTGCTAGGCATTGAATATGATGTTGATTTACATAGAGTAGTTAAATTAAACTTTGATAAGAAACTTGTTAAACTTAAATCTCTCATAAGTTCGTGGAATAGAAGAAATCTCACTCCAATAGGTAAGATAACCATTATTAAAACATTGCTAATTTCACAATTTAATCATCTTTTTATAGCTCTTCCAAACCCACATGACTCTTATATAAAAAAAGTAAATAACATATTATACAAATTTTTGTGGTGCGGAAAAACTGATAAAGTTAAACGTGATGTTATAATTAAGTCATACGAACATGGTGGTTTGAAAATGATTCATTTAAAATCTTTCATAACAGCACTAAAGGCAACGTGGGTACGGAGGATCTATAAAGAAGATGCTAGTTGGACTTTAATTCCTGAAAACTACATGGATAAGTTCTCTTTAGCTAATTGTGGAATTCATAAATTAAAAATTACATGTGAAGAATGTAAAAATAAATTTTGGAAACACGTTTTAGAAGCATGGTATCAAACAATAGTGTCGTCCAATTTATATAGTGAAAAAATATGTGAAAATCCTTTGTGGTATAATCACAATATCCAAACAAACAATAAGACTGTTTTCTGTAAAGAGTGGTATAGAAAAGGAGTGCTTTTTATATATGATGTAATTAAAGAAGATGGTTCTTTTTATAATTTTGTAGAATTTCAACATAGATATGATATAAGGTCCAATTTTTTAACTTTTCATAGTATAATTAGTGCTATAAAACAGTTTATAAATAGTAAACAAGAAATCTTTGCTTTAGAAAAGAGTATTTGTTTACCTAATATACCTTTAAATCTTAATATTATATTAAGGAGGACTAAAGGGGCACAGGATATTTATGCTGTTTTATGCCGAAATGATACAAAACCCACGTCACAAAGGAAATGGTCTACGGTTTTTAACATTCAGGACAAATTATGGATAAAGATTTATGCATGTCCTTTTAAAACTACTGAAAGTACTAAATTAAGATGGCTTCAATACCGAATTAACCATAGAATCTTAACTACAAACACACTCCTACAAAAAATGGGAATAAAACAAAATTCAACTTGTACTTTTTGTAAAAGATTTCCAGAAACAATTGAACATCTATTTTGGGATTGTGGTAAAGTATGTGAAATTTTGAGAGAACTAAAACAATTGCTTGCAACCAGTAATATTGATTTGAATTTTGACAAACAGGAATTTATATTTGGACAATTCAGTTCAAAGGATGCTGATTTGATAGTGGATAATCTTATCCTATTATTGATTAAACAATACATTTTTAAAATGAAATGCCTAGAAATAGAACTCAATATAACAAGTTTAAAGAATCACATTCTTTTTGAACTTAAATCTCATAAGATATTGATAATTAAGCATAAAAACTGCAAAAATAATATAGTCTTGCTTAATAAAGTAGAAAAATGGCTTCTCTTATAAAATAATGTGAACAATTATCATTATACTATAAAGAAAAGTTTGCAATCCCCCCCCCCTGTGAGTGTGTATGTGTATATGTGTACTATGTGTACAGTATATAATTAGTCTCTTGTAAAGAGGTGTCCGTTGTGAAGGGAATTGTAATCAATGTAATGTATGCTTGTTGCTTTGTGTGTAAATGTGTTGTTTATAAAAAAGAAAAACTGAATAAAAAAAAAAAATTAAAAAAAAAAAAATATTTTGAGAACCTACTCTATCCCTTGGTAATGGGACTCCTAACAATTGTGAAAATGATGTTCACAACTCAACAGAAAAAAAGTCCTACAAAATCACTGCAACAATTTAATTAATCTCATCAGCAGAGTGGTAATCTTATGAAATGTTGCATGGGCCATATTGAGGAAGAATCAATCAAGCAACTAGGTCCAATGTTTTTAAAAGGCCTACACTAATACCATCATATAATATATAATTCAATATTACCCTGAAAGTCAAAGTCAAAAATAGATTCAAACAACCTGAGTATCAATTAAAATTTAAATTTCAAATGTTAAAAGTTGGATTGGGATTTTGAACTTGGAAAATCTTATTTAAATTTAGGACAGGAATTGGTCCACTTTTAAAAGGGTCCAGGAAATTGAATCCCTGTATACATGTAATATTTTTTTCCTAAAGGATTTATTCTTTTATTATTGTTTAAGTGTTTACATGTTGATGTTTAAGTGTTTACATGTTGAAGTGTTTACATGTTGATGTTTAAGTGTTTACATGTTGAAGTGTTTACATGTTGATGTTTAAGTGTTTACATGTTGAAGTGTTTACATGTTGATGTTTAAGTGTTTACATGTTGAAGTGTTTACATGTTGATGTTTAAGTGTTTACATGTTGAAGTGTTTACATGTTGATGTTTAAGTGTTTACATGTTGAAGTGTTTACATGTTGATGTTTAAGTGTTTACATGTTGAAGTGTTTACATGTTGATGTTTAAGTGTTTACATGTTGAAGTGTTTACATGTTGATGTTTAAGTGTTTACATGTTGAAGTGTTTACATGTTGATGTTTAAGTGTTTACATGTTGAAGTGTTTACATGTTGATGTTTAAGTGTTTACATGTTGATGTCGGACTGCCTCAGCATGGTGATATTTCAGTGTAAGAATGGTACAGTAACCAGCATGGAAATATTTCAGTGTAAGAATGGTGCAGTAACCAGCATGGTGATATTTAAGTGAAGAGTGGTACAGTAACAAGCATGGTGATATTTCATTGAAGAGTGGTACAGTACCCAGCATGGAGATATTTCAGTGAAGAGTGGAACAGTAACCAGCATGGTAATACTTCAGTGTAAGAATGGTGCAGTAACCAGCATGGTGATAATTCAGTGTAAGAATGGTTCAGTAACCAGCATGGTGATAATTCAGTGTACGCATGGTACAGTAACCAGCAGGGTGATATTTCAGTGAAGCATTGTACAGTAAACAGCATGGTGATATTTCAGAAGAGTGGTACAGTAACAAGCATGGTGATATTTCAGAAGAGTGGTACAGTAACCTGCATGGTGATATTTCAGTATAAGAATGGTACAGTAACAAGCATGGTGATATTTCATTGTAAGAATGGTACAGTAACAAGCATGGTGATATTTGAGTGTAAGAATGGTACAAGTAACCAACATGGTGATATTTCAGTATAAGAATGGTACAGTAAACAGCATGGTGATATTTCATTGAAGAGTGGTACAGTAAACAGCATGGTGATATTTCAGTGTAATAATGCTACAGTAACCAGCATGGAAATATTTCAGTGTAAGAATGGTTCAGTAACCAGCATGGTGATACTTCAGTGTAAGAATGGTGCAGTAACCAGCATGGTGATATTTAAGTGAAGAGTGGTACAGTACCCAGCATGGAGATATTTCAGTGAAGAGGGGTACAGTAACCAGCATTGTGATATTTCAGTGAAGCATTGTACAGTAAACAGCATGGTGATATTTCATTGTAAGAATGGTACAGTAAACAGCATGGTGATATTTCATTGAAGAGTGGTACAGTAACCAGCAGGGTGATATTTCAGTGAAGGGTGGTACAGTAACCAGCATGGGGATATTTCAGTGAAGAGTGGTACAGTAACCAGCATGGTGATATTTCAGTGTACGAATGGTACAGTAACCAGCATGGTAATATTTCAGTGTAAGAATGGTACAGTAACCAGCATGGTGATATTTCAGTGTAAGAATGGTACAGTAACCAGCATGGTGATATTTCAGTGTAAGAATGGTACAGTAACCAGCATGGTGATATTTCAGTGTAAGAATGCTACAGTAACCAGCATGGTAATACTTCAGTGTAAGAATGGTACAGTAACCAGCATGGTGATACTTCAGTGTAAGAATGGTACAGTAACCAGCATGGTGATATTTCAGTGTAAGAATGGTACAGTAACCAGCATGTTATGTCGGGATAAAGACACTCTTTGTCACGCTCTTCACTAATTAATTATTCCTGGTACATCAACTTACTTGTTCGGTTCCACGATTTCATCAACAAGGAAGTTCAGGTAGCTCCTGAAATATATCAAAAACAACTCATCAAAACAGTCATTGTGGGGCTTCAAGAAAACATGGATTACTGCAGTGCTGTAGTAGTACATTGTGTTGATTTATATTGTACAACAATCTTTAACAAAGCTACAAACACTAACCCTAACCCTGACTATATTAGTAACTATAACTTTGCTAATAGACAAACAAAGCATCATGTGATCCAGCAAAGATAACATTCATGTTTGGAGTTCTGACACCCCTGGATCACAGAAGTAGCTTACCATCCACTGTAGGCCCAGAATCCAGAATAGAACGAGATAGCAATCGCACCAACACTGTAATCCGAACCTACAAACGGCTCCTCAAAGTTTTCAACCTCACCTGAAAATACAACATCAACATTGTAACAACGAAGGCATTCAAAAGAAAGGATATCAACACCAATTTGAAAATTTTCTGAACAGCTTCCTTCCAATGTACTGGTATACGTATATTATGATACATGTAAGTTTCTTGTGGTAATTAAGACTAGATTTATATTTACCGTTGCCGATATAGATGAAGCCGATGATGATGACGATGAGGAGAGCGATGAGTTTACTGGCAGTGATGATCACCTGTACTTTAGCTGCCCACTTGACATTTCTGATGTTGATCAGGATCAGTAGTGCTGTAAAACACAATGACACCATATTATAACGATCACAGGTTATAAGTGAAAAAGGTTCTTCATGGTTAGTTAGTTAATTTTGATATTGTACAAAAACATAAAGTGTACCAAGTGTCTTTTACAATTTCAAAATTAACTATAATGAGAGTTAGATTCAAAATGATAACCAACCATCATGATTTTATGGTCACTTTTTTTTCTCTTATAACAATCTTTCATCTGGAAAAACACTTTTCTATTGGTATAATATGGATAATGTATTATGTCTGTTTCCAATCGGGGAAACAATTCCTAGGAATCATGGCATTAAAATGGAAGATGACTTCAAAAAGCATGTTACAGGATAATATACCTTAATGATTGACCAATGAAATCACTTTAAGGGTGTTACCCACTATATAGTTATCAAAAGTGTTCACCAACACACATGGCATCCAATGAGTCGTAAGACACCTGTGTGTCCATCTAACTGACATGTGTGTCCATCTAACTGACATGAGATGGACACACATGTCAGTTAGATTGACACACAGGTCAGTTAGATGGACACACATGTCAGTTAGATGGACACACAGGTCAGTTAGATGGACACACATGTCAGTTAGATGGTCATGTGTATTTGAGCTATGTTTTGACTTTTCAATTTTCAGGTAAAATGTGATTGGACTTCTAAAAGTGCTTAATTTCAAAAGTCAACTGAAAGCCCTGTTATAAACTTGAGTTCTTTTAAAAACTTGGACACTACTAACTCAAATTACGTGTAAACATGTACAGTTAAAACTTCAGGTAAAAAAATTAAACCCTTTATTTATGATGCACTTGTCCACATCCTGGAGCGGACATGTCCTGGCTGACATGTTTATATACCAATCTGTCTGAACAACCATGGGAACACAGATATATTAAGGTTGTTGGAGTACACATAATATCTGATGTAGAACTAATAACAGATACCAATAGTTCTCCCCGTCAGAGCTCTGCACCTGTTCACGAGCTCTGCACCTGTTCACATGTAATGGTCACAACGTATACAGAATCCACGCTTGTTACTCTGACATTTGGTAACACCTATTGTTGTATCTATTGGTGACCACAAATGCAATGTTTTATGTTACAGGTATGCAAACATGTGTAAAAATAAAGTTTCGTGCAAAGTGAAAACTCAACAAATTTTTATTTATCTGCAATGGCTTGAGGGGAAACCCATTAAGATTGATCAGTATAAGTTTTTTATTTGCATTTTCATGTTTTGTTTTCATGGCAATTGAATGGGACCCTAATGAGATTTTAAGGAATTCTGTGTGTCGTGTCAAAGAACTAGCTGACATCACTATTTTTTGACTTCCCTTCCCTTTTCTTCGCCCCTGCTTTGATTTCTGAATACACTGTCAGACATATAGGTGTGTTGCCTGCTGGAGTACAATACATGTACCATGGGTTTATCATTTTTACTCGTTTGTTTTCTTTATTACGGGAGACCAAGGCAACCAATTGCTACCTGCATAATATCTGTATGTGAATGTGCTGTACTGCTAAACCTGTTTATCTGACTTTGTTATTACATGTACCAGACACCAAGCACAGTCGGCAGTGTTAAAAATTGCTTCACAAATTCATCAGTCATCGCTATTTCTCAGCGAAGTACTTCGTGCTTATGTTCATGTAGATTTTTACCTTGACCACAGGGACATGGCACATACTAACCCCCTACATATATAGAGGGGGTGGAGGGGGTGGAGGGGTGGAGGG